CCAAATCTTGTTCATTACTCCATCCAAAGAAGGATTACATTTACATTTACATGTTGTTATTTGCCCCAATTTTTTGTGGAAATATTTTTTATTGAAGTATAATATCAAAATACATATAGTATCAAAATACAAAGTTATTAAATCTTTCCATATAGGTTTTCCCCAAGCATGTTTCTAGGTTATTTGGAGCTGTTCTGCCCTTTGTAATTCACGCACAGAAACAAACAATTTCAAACCTTCTAGATATATGATATAAATTTTTTTTAACCGAAGGATATTAATTTTTATATGCATAAAAGATTTTAGAAATAAATTAGAATTAATTTAAAAAATATACCACTGCCGAAATTAGTTGCATGAAATAAAATTCCGCAAATTAAATGATAAAGCACAATATGTAATTGCAGCAAACTGTGTCAACCAACGAATTTAAGTGGGCAGCATAAAGCAAAAGCACTATTAAAAATGTTTATGAAAAGTTATGTTTATTATTTCTTACATTTTCTCTATTATATTTTGATATAATTTTTCTTCAGTTTTTTTAATTTTATTTATTATTTTTATATTCACAAATGACTAAAAATAATTAGAATATTTATATTTGCAATTGTAGAAATTAATTAATATTTAATGTTTAGGCAATACATTTTAAATGTTAAATATCGATACATTTATTTTCTGTTTATTCATTAATTATAACCAATATATTTATATACACAAATAATTTAAATTAAATCCGAAAATAATTTTTACAGTTGTAGAAATTAACTGCTTTAATGAAAAAGCCTATGACAAAAAGTAACATACTGCTAACGAATTATATGTATATAATCTACACAAATCAAAAGCACTACTAAAATTGTTTGTAAGAATGCTTACATATTTTTAAATTCTTATATTACATATATACAACAACAAAAATTATTAGGTAGTAAAATTATGACTTCATGTTATAAAGGTTCGAGTAAATTGATGGTAAATTAAGGGAAATGGTAAATTATGTCGATATGGCAGCGAATGTTGGTATTAACCAGAATTTCGAGTAGGGTAAATTAGCTAAAAATTAAGTAAATTAGGTATTACCATTGTGAAAATTTTAAAAGATGTTTAATAAATAAATTTGAAAACTTTAAACCAGAAATAATAAAAAGTGCAATAAATAAATAAATAAATAAATATTTACATAAGTGAAGAGCAAAAAATCCCTATGAAATTTTAATTAATTTACCTCAACTTACTCGGATTCGCACACGGCCAGTGTTCTTCAATATCCCTCTTACTTTTAATAATCTATGCCATTTTTTTAAATACTTTTAAATCTATTTTTGCACATATCGCGATTGTGCTACAAAAATTGAATATACAATAATATAAATAATGCAATAATTATCAATTAAGCTATAATAAAATTTTTTGACATACATTTTAGTAATAACCTTTTTAATTCGACATAATCTTATGTATTTAAATGTTATTTTCAGGTAACATAAAACTGTTAGGAGAGAAATTGTAATAAAAATCTAATTGAAATAATATTTTAAAATAAATATAACATGGCGAAGTAATCAAACAAAACAGCATGTAGATCATATTATATTACTTCATTTGCAGAATTTAAAAGTCAGAAAAGTCAGGTTTTCAGTATTTTAACTATATGAACTTTACTTAATATTTTTCATTGTGTTGGCTTTTTGCACGTTATGTAGCAAAGAAAATAAAGAAAAGAAACAGAGAGAAAAGAAAATGAATAAAGTGTGTATAAAATTTTCTGGATTATTCAAATAATATTCAAAATTTTGTGTAATGAGGAAAAGATCACGCGATACAAAAACAAAAAGCCCAATATTACTCAATGGTGCACGATGATAAAGGTTTTCAAGTACGCACGGAAATGCGCACTTGGATGTTTAAATTTAAAGCATCCACCAAGCAAATTAAGACGTGTGCCAAAATAGTATTTCTAATAAACCACCAATTAATTTATGCTTATTAGTTAAAACTTAGTGCTTTGATAGTAGTGTAATAACGTGATTAGAATATTATTTTTAAAGTTTTTTCCATTTTCCATAATAATAATTACGAAATTGAAAAAATCCTAAAGCAAAATCAATATTTTTCATAATACCTTGATTGAGTGTTGTTATTGATATATTAATATATATAAATATGTTAATTAGACTTTACAAATTCCACATTTGTAAAAAATTATATATGTTTTCTAAAAATATACTGTACAATATTCAATTTTGATTTTTGTTTGTTTTTTTTTTTCAAACCATACGGACAAAAGTGCTTGCAGTATTCAGTTGCATTCCACTTTATAAAATTGCTGCAGATTTTGTTCAAGCAACAACAAAGTCAATGTGATCTATGTTTTTCGTTACTAATATCTTTATGTTAAAAGTTTCTTAATACTTGTCCAAAGTGTTTTATGATTTTTATTATAGAAATGAGTGAAAACCACATTAGGAGTTTCTGACTCCTCAACCGGGATATTTTATGCCTGTGATAGGCACTTTTCTGCAAAAATGTGTTGAACGAAAAACTTAACTCGGTTAGCAATGTACCAAAATTTTAAAACTGATACAATAAATCATGCCTCATCTCATTATAATTATATTGATATATACAATGGATTTTCTAATAATAATAGTTTACACTATTTCTTCTAATTAAATAATAAATAATATAAATAATTATATATTGCATTAATAATATGCAACCACAAATGCAGTAAACATTTCGGTTTAAGCAACACTGATTTTAATATTTGACAATTCTAGTACAGTGAATAATTAAGAAAGATTTTTTTGCGATGTTACACAAAGTAACACAATTATTCAAATTTTTCTCTGAGTTTCTATTCTTTATCTTCTTTGGTGTGTAGTATCCTGTAGACGTCGCCACATTACGAATAGTAGATAAAAAGAATAACGAATGAATTTCATCAGAGCGATTTGTCTTTTTCCCTTTGTTCACATGGTTCCGTTTGGTTTCTTATAATTTTACGATTAATGTGCTAGTTTAGCTTGGTTTCAAATTAAAATTCAATTGTTTTTAATCGTTATTCATCTGCAATATGGATAATATAAAAACTAAGGTATTTATTTCATTTAACATATTGGTTTAATACGAAGTTAAACTATGTTTTCTTTTACAAATTTTGTAAAAATAAATTTGTGTGATTTTATCAATGGAAAGTGTTTATATTAGTGAATATATTAATTAATAAAAACTAATACTATCTAACAGTAGAATTTTAAAGAATAATTAAAATGTTTCTGATTTGGCTGCTTGCTCAAAATTTCTTCAGATTGCTTTGTGTGGCTTTGTGCTTTCTTCATCTTCTTGAAAAGTTCATTAAAATGCATGCGCATGTTTCATTCATTTGTGGTATAACATTCGATAATTCGATAAATAAATAACTTTCCTAATAATCGAAACATTAAAATTTAGGTGGCTCCTAAAAAAAGTTTCACCAATGTTTTTGTTGGGGAATACTACAGCATAATTATAGATAATGTTATACATGAAATAACAGTTCATTCCGTAAATAATTGTGATGAAATATGCATTGTTAAGGTATGCGGATCAGAAAAAGAACGCGTAGTTTATTTTCAAGATTTAATGCCAACAGCTGGATCTTTGGCGCGCCAAGTCCAGTGGCAGCGACTTGCCAATTCGAGCAAATCTAATTTGAGACTCTTCGATACTGGAAACTGTCAAATAGGTGACATAGTAAAAGTCAAGCTGGAGAATGGTTTAGATGCAGAAGCCGAAATACTTCAATTAGATACAGCTGATAGGACATGCTCTGTTAAAATTTATTACGATAATTCCATACACCATTTAAGTTTAAATAATATAGATCAGAGTTTTTTAATACCACAGCCTCTAAAAAACACATGCATTACTGATATCACAGAAACAATAAATGTTAAGGAATTAGAGAGTGAGCAGCCTACAGAACAAATTAATGAATTAATAAAAATCACTGAGACATTTAGTATTAGAGTAAAAGATAAAATTCTTGCAACTTATAACGAACAAGATTCAGAAGCAGAAATTATTGCCATTAATAATGAAAGAAAAACATGTCTCGTTCGATTTTCGATTCATGACACGTTTACGGTATTAGACTTTAATAACATAAAGCCTATTTCTTTTAATTCATTAAAGGACACATCAGTTGAAGTATCTAAAAAAAATATGTATTCCGAAGGTGATATCGTTTTGGCATGTTTTGAAGATGGAGTGTATTACAAGGCCAAAATTGTTGAACTTTCCGGTGATGGGACTAATTGTATTATTAACTACATAAATTATGATGAACTATATTCGGTAGGTTTTGATAAAATAAAACCATTAAATATTGATACTTCGTTGACGAATAGAAAAGGTTTGATACAGAATGATGTCCCACATCACAATAAAGATTATACCGAAAAAAAAATGAAAGAAGATATCAAAATGTTTGAAGTGTCTAAAGAGAAATTTCATGAATCAGACATGGTCTTAGCTGATAACCATATAACACAAAATCTACAATATTTGGTTGGAGATAAAGTATTGGCTACATATGATGATGGGGTTGAATATATTGCCGAAATTACTAAGATTGGTGAAAATGGCAAGTGTATCGTTAAATTCATAGAATATAATGATTTGTACGAAACAAGTGTTAATAAAATAAAACATACTTTATATAAAAGCTTGAATAAACCTGAAGATCACTTAGAAGTTGTTTCAGCTCTTAATGACTCTCATCAAGGCACTATCAAACAAGAATTCACAGAAAATAAATTAAAAGTATCTTCAGAAGATGAACGTTTTAAAGAAATCATTGACAACGTAACATATATAAAAACTGTTGGACGAAATGAAAGTCCCAAAAACCTTTTAGATATTGGAAACCTTAAAGAGGGAAGCATTGTCAGAATATCACATGAGAATGGAGAACTTCGTGATGCACAAATTGTAAAGCTTTCAAATAAGGGTACTTTCATAGTTAAATATAAAGACTTCAATGATCTATATGAAGTTTATTCAGAGGACATACACACAATATGTGATTCAAATATACAAAATAATAAAAGTCACCTAACAACTAAGTCACTTAATAAGTTAAGTGAATTTGTGGACGTCATGAACGATAAAAATGGTGTTTTAATTAGAGACATTCAGTCTGATGGCGTTATGCACCAAACTTCCGGTGATGACAGAAAAACAGTTTTGAAATTTGATAAAACTGAACTATTTAACTTTCGAGAAGGGGATCATGTTCTTGCAGCTTATACTGACGGAGAATACTACCCTGCAAAAATTGTTAAAATATCCAGAAAAAAAAATTCATGTAAAGTCGTGTACACCGAATACGATGATACTTTATACAAAATCGGATTCAACAAAATTAAATCAATTGATGTAGAGAATAAATCAATTACCAAGGATAGAAAACCATTATCCAGTTTTGAATCTACAGCTGCATTTCTGAAACATTCAGCTGAAACTCTTCAAGTAAAAGATTTATCAAAAACCCCAAGTGATGCCAAGGATATTATTTTCTCAGTTGGTGACAATGTATTAGCAGTTTACAATGGTGAAAAATACCGAGCTGTTGTTATTAGCGTTTTAGAAAAAGAAAATATATGTTGCATTAAATATGATGATTACGACGAAATATACGAAGTTTCATTGAACGATATTGAGCCTAATGAAGAGAAAAAACTAAAAAATTGGGATAATAAGAATGAAAAAATATTGGTTCAAAAATCGTTAAACAAAGTAAACAAAAGTACTAATGTTGATCGCAATGAAATATCTATTATATCTGAACCCTCCGAAGGTGAGGAGGTATTTGTTAAATATGAAGATGATAAATATTATAAAGCGATAATTGTAAATATTTCCTCAAATACCAGCTCTTGTGTAGTAAAATACATCGACTACGATGAGTGCTGTGAAGTTAGTATGAACAATATAAAAAGAGTCGATGAAATATCTGATAATGACACAGGAACTCCTATCACCAGAAATAAAATTGAGGTCCAAGATTTACTAACAAATGATTCCACAAAATTGAGAGAAGAAAATTATATTCCTGATTTTAAAATTGGACAAAAGGTTCTAACATTATATGAAGATGGCGAATTCTATTTAGCAGAAATAGTAAGTATTTGTTCAAACTCCAATTCTTGCGTAGTAAAATTCATTGACTACGATGAGTGTTATGAAGTGAGTATGAACAATATAAAAGAAGTGGATGAAATATCTGATAATGACACTGGAACTCCTATCACCACAAATATAATTGAAGTCCAAAGATTACTAATAAATGATTCCGCAAAATTGACAGAAGAAAATTGTATTCCTGATTTCAAAATTGGACAAAAGGTTCTAGCATTATATGAAGATGGTGAATTCTATTTGGCAGAAATAGTTACTATTTCCTCAAAATCTGACTCTTGTGTAGTAAAATACATTGACTACGATGAGTGTTGTGAAGTGAGTATGAGCAATATAAAAGAAGTCGATAAAATATCTGATAAGGAGACTGGAACTCCTACCACCACAAATATAATTGAGGTCCAAGACTTACTAACAAATGATTCCTCAAAAATTGATGAGAAAAATTGTATTCCTAATTTTAAGATTGGACAAAAGGTTCTAGCATTACATGAAGATGGTGAATTCTGTTTAGCAAAAATAGTAATTGTTTTCTCAAATTCCAACGCTTGTGTAGTAAAATACATTGACTACGATGACTGTTGTGAAGTAAGTATGAACAATATAAAAGAAGTCGATGAAGTATCTGATAATGTCACTGGAACTCCTATCACCATAAATAAAAGTGAGGTAGAAGAATTACTAACAAGTGATTCCAGAAAAATGGATGAGGAAATTTGTATTCCTGAATTTAAAATTGGACAAAAGGTTCTAGCATTACATGAAGATGGTGAATTCTATTTAGCAAAAATAGTAACTATTTTCTCAAATTCCAACTCTTGTGTAGTAAAATACATTGACTACGATGAGTGTTGTGAAGTAAGTATGAGCAATATAAAAGAATTCGATGAAATAGCTGATAAAGAGACTGGAACTCCTACCACCACAAATATAATTGAGCTCCAAGACTTACTAACAAATGATTCCACAGAATTAGGTGAAGGAAATTGTATTCCTGAATTTAAAATTGGACAAAAGGTTCTAGCATTACATGAAGATGGTGAATTCTATTTAGCAAAAATAGTAACTATTTTCTCAAATTCCAACTCTTGTGTAGTAAAATACATTGACTATGATGACTGTTGTGAAGTGAGTATGAGCAATATAAAAGAACTCGATGAAATATCTGATAACGACACTGAAACTTCTATCACAACAAATAAAATTGATGTCCAAGAATTACTAACAAATGATTCCACAAAAATGGATGAGGAAAATTGTATTCCTGAATTTAAAATTGGACAAAAGGTTCTAGCATTATATGAAGATGGCGAATTCTATCCAGCAGAAATAGTAAATTTTTCCTCAAAAACCGACTCTTGCGTAGTAAAATACATTGACTACGATGAGTGTTGTGAAGTAAGTATGAACAATATAAAAGAAGTCGATGAAGTATCTGATGACACTGGAACTCCTATCATCACAAATATAATTGAGCTCCAAGACTTACTAACAAATGATTCCAAAGAATTGGGTGAAGGAAATTGTATTCCTGAATTTAAAATTGGACAAAAGGTTCTAGTATTATATGAAGATGGCGAATTCTATCCAGCAGAAATAGTAAATTTTTCCTCAAAAACCGACTCTTGCGTAGTAAAATACATTGACTATGATGAGTGTTGTGAAGTAAGTATGAACAATATAAAAGAAGTCGATGAAGTATCTGATGACACTGGAACTCCTATCATCACAAATATAATTGAGCTCCAAGACTTACTAACAAATGATTCCACAGAATTAGGTGAAGGAAATTGTATTCCTGAATTTAAAATTGGACAAAAGGTTCTAGCATTACATGAAGATGGTGAATTCTATTTAGCAAAAATAGTAACTATTTTGTCAAATTCCAACTCTTGTGTAGTAAAATACATTGAGTATGATGAGTGTTGTGAAGTGAGTATGAGCAATATAAAAGAAGTCGATGAAATATCTAATAATGACACTGGAACTTCTAACACCACAAACAAAATTGAGGTCCAAGAACTACTAACAAATGACTCCACAAAATTGGGTGAAGAAAATTATATTCCTGAATTTAAAATTGGACAAAAGGTTCTAGCATTATATGAAGATGGCGAATTCTATCCAGCAGAAATAGTAAATTTTTCCTCAAAAACCGACTCTTGCGTAGTAAAATACATTGACTACGATGAGTGTTGTGAAGTAAGTATGAACAATATAAAAGAAGTCGATGAAGTATCTGATGACACTGGAACTCCTATCATCACAAATATAATTGAGCTCCAAGACTTACTAACAAATGATTCCAAGGAATTGGGTGAAGGAAATTGTGTTCCTGAATTTGAAATTGGACAAAAGGTTCTAGCATTATATGAAGATGGCGTATTTTATCCAGCAGAAATAGTAACTATTTCCTCAAAAACCGACTCTTGTGTAGTAAAATACATTGACTACGATGAGTGTTGTGAAGTGAGTATGAGCAATATAAAAGAAGTCGATGAAATAGCTGATAAAGAGACTGGAACTCCTACCACCACAAATATAATTGACGTCCAAGACTTACTAACAAATGATTACACAGAATTAGGTGAAGAAAATTATATTCCTAATTTTAAGATTGGACAAAAGGTACTAGCATTACATGAAGATGGCGAATTCTATTTAGTAGAAATAGTAACTATTTGTTCAAACTCCAACTTTTGCGTAGTAAAATTCATTGACTACGATGAGTATTGTGAAGTGAGTATGAACAATATAAAAGAACTCGATGAAATATCTGATAATGACGCAGGAACTCTTATCTCTACAAATATAATTGAGGTCCAAGAATTACTAACAAAAGTCGATAGGGACGTTTGTTCTGTAAAATATGATGATAGTCATGATCATGTGGAAATAAACATAACTAATATTAAACCGATTATGAACAAAATATGCAACAATAGTCTGAATTTAAAGAAGGAATGTACGGTTAATTATTCAGTGGGGGATGAAGTTATAATAAAAAATATAGATGGAACGGACAACGTAGCAATAATTTACGAATTCCTGGATGACGATTTCTGTATTCTTCAGTTCAATGACAATAAATTTGAACAAGCGTTTGTAGGAGATATTAAACCAAGAGAATCATGCGAGATTAAGAATTATGAAGAAATAATACATGAAACCGAAATTAATAATATATTAACCGGAAATAGCTTTAATTTTAACAGAGATGAAGAAAAAAGTAATTTGCGAAACACTGCTTATAAAGACAATTGGGATAAGTTTAAAGATGTCAGTACATCATTTTTAAAGAAAAGTTCTACGTACAACAATGATCATAAGAGTTTATATGTAAAAAATGATATAATTAAGGCAATCCATATTGATGGAAACCATTGTATGGACAGTATACTGAAATTATTAAATACTGATTTGGGTCTTATCAAATTTAATGATTTAAATTTAATATGCGATGTGGAATTAAACAAAATCACAAAGGGGTTCAGTGAGAATTTTTCAGTTCATAATAAAAGCTTAATAACTACAAAGGTGCCGGCATTTTCGGCATCTGAAAGGATAATCTGTATATATGAAGATAGCAAAGAGAATGTCGTTGAAATCAGAACAATCAGATCTATTATGGGAACTTATATTGTGAAACTGATTAAAAATAAAAATTTTATTGAATTCAATGATTTTCCTAAAAAACCAAAAAATAATATTAAATGTTCAGAATCTGAAATCATTCCACAATCTTCAACTGAAGCATATTGTGGTAGTGTAAATGATTTGTCAATTATAGATATAATAGCAGAGCGAAAAAATCTACTATGTGCGGAACCGGAAATTATCATCATATTAAGTGATGGGAGAAGTTGTCCTGCAAAAGTGATTCGTTTTAATTCTGATGTTAACACATGGGTTATAAAAGTTCTTGGTTTCGACATTTTGCAAGAGATTAATATTGAAAACTTGAAGCCTAATATTTTTTATGAACAGCATCAAAAAAAACAGCTAAAACAAACATCAAGCACTCAAGATTCCACTGAAAATCATATTGCAAGTCTTCACAAATCAAAAGAAGGTATTACAGCAATTAAAGTTGAACATTTGAATTTTTCATTGAAATATATTTGTGTAGATTACTCTAATGTGGATAAAGATGAATCTATTACGATACAAGTGGTCCAATACTCAGACGAAAACTTGCAAGGTAAAAAATAACTCTTATCCTTTTTGAAAATGTTTAAGTTTCTTTTCCATTGCAGACAATGATTCAATGGCCGTGTTTAATAATTCAGTAGATGGATTTCAAAACAAAGGTCGCCATGCAAATGCATTAGTAAAATGTGAAGAAGAAAAGTGTTCTGTTACAAAACTTAAAGTGGGCGATTTTGTACGTGCATTCTATTTAGATGGACAAGTCTATGACGCCAAAGTTATGAAGATTTTTGAATCAAATCAAACCTATCAAATTAAGTATTTGGCACTAGACGTTGAACTGAATATACCATGGAGATTAGTGAGTCCCATAAAAAGTTCGAATTTAGATTTAATACATTCATTTCCAATTATGACGAACGAAGATTTTTACTGCTGTTACTACCATTATTTCAGTAAATTAGTAAGAAATCAATAAATTGAATTATAATATAAAAAACTATTCTCAATTACATATTGACGAAAATTGTATTGTTTAAAGATACATTGATTGTAAAAAATTGCCACATAAAACAAATAAAGTAATACAAATGAATTTTACTTATATTAAATATTGCAAGTAAAAGTATGAAAATAATGTAATGTTTTAAGGTTTATTGAAATTGGAATCAGATGAAATAGATATATAATGTAATCGAATCGAATATAAAAACAATATGAAGTATAACAGTTTGGAATCATATAAAATGGGTGCGTTTCTCAGGCAGGGCAATTTCTATTAGGCTGCGAAATATTTTAAGCATTCAATGCTACGCGCCTTCAAATGATGCAGATCCGCTTTGCAAGTAGCAATTCTATAACACCGTCGATAGAGCTATTACTTCTATGAAGTATGGCTCTTGGATCTTCATGGGCGAGTACGACATAGGTAGACAGTCAGAAAATGAAACATTATTTACCGGAACGTAAAATCACCTGGATATCGCCAGACCACAGAACCGAAAATTAAACCGACCACATAAATATCTCCAAGAAATGTCGAGGGTTTTTGCTAGATCTACAGAACCGTAGAGGGGTAGATGTATTTAGTGATCACCACCTAGTAACTGCTGACATAAGTTTAATAATATGTGCAATAAATACAGAGGAAAATTAACGTTCAGAATCTTTAAAACCCCAACGTATAGGTTGGCTATATTAACCAGTTAAAAGAATCATAGAATTCAACTACTTCTACACAGCGTTCAGAATGGCAAATTATTAAAAACATCTTCATTGATACCGCAGAGAATCAAATCAGATATTGTTACTTTACCAAGGGACTCCTCACTTTGTTAACAAATAAGAAAACTGAACTCTACGATCAAAATCAAACTTTTTTCAAATTTATTCAGCACGAAATTGGAAGCAATTTCAATAAATTTGCAACGCCTATTTGCATCGCCACAGTACTCCTTTTTAGCGGTGGAGTACTAGCAACATCACAACACACGAATCAATACCGCTAATAATCGTTCTCAAATTCTACCAGATCGCGTCACTCTCAGAATCGACGAAAGGGATCCAGGATTACGATCACAAGCAGCCACTGATTGATAATCACTCGGTACCGCTGTAGGTTGACGAGGGTCTGGTACGTCATCATACGTCAAGCACGCTGCCTTTTACCTGTCATTCGAAACTGTAACCTCTCTACCGCGACAATAAATGACAGAAGTTTTCTCGCCACGACGCAGCACCTGAAATGGACCATTATAAAACGTGTTTAAAACTCATAACTTCACGTGGAACATAGACAAATGGCTGACAGTGTCTACTAGCCCCAACAGATTTCACCTTCGCCAAAGCCCTTCGCACAAGTGTAAAGGACTGCGTCCAACTGCTTGAGAAATGGCACCGGGTGACCGACTTAAACGTTCTATGGAAACGCTTAACCATGCATTCGCTTGAATGCCGTGCTACGAAAATGCTCCACTCTAAGCAACCTTGCAGGTTCCCAAAAAACAGCAGACTCAAACTACCGACCCAAATCAGTGGTAATAGCCTACGGAGAGCCAAAACTTGCCACCCAAACGTCGATGAAAACCGCCGCAACTTCCTACAACTTCCTAAACCGCCGCCCGATAGAACTACAGCAACAGGCCACCGAGAAAAACGATCGACGCAAGTCAAACAATAACGCTTCCCCTGAGACAAAGGCAATGGGCCCACAATGTCAACATAAACATGTTCGAACCGAGCATCAACATTAAAATAACCAATCGGTGTTTTAGAATGCCGCTGAATTTTGGACTTCTAACACGCAATGTAACTATGCACAAACACAGCCACATCTCTAACCAAACCAGGCCAAACATACCTAGCCTGCACCAACTTCCGCGTTGCTCAAACACCAGGATGAACCAAAGCGTGAAATTTTGCAATAACCAGCTGCCGGCAGTTTGGAGGGAATACGCCAACCTTTGTAACGAGGGTACGCGAAAAGATTGTTGACATAACGCTAGGAAATACTCTAGGTAGCAAACTAGTTAAGAATTAGATAGTTTCTAATGAACCATCCATGTCAGACCACAGAATTATAAGGTTTGATATTGAAGGAGCATCCCATATCAATAGAATACCTAGGAACCATAGGAAAAAAGACTGGAAAAAATACCAGACTAACCTAGAGGTTAACTTAAGTCGGTTAGATATTGGGGGAAATATTCAGCATGCAACTCAACTGGATTCCACAGTTGAAAACCTCAGCAATGCCATTATTGATGCATACGAAAGTAGCTGCCCGATAAGCTCAATAAAATCAACTAAGGACGTACCTTGGTGGAACAATAAACTAACAATATTGAGAACAAAGGCTCGAAGGCTATTCAACCGATCTAAGCGCACAGGAGGTGTTGGACCGAGTATAGAAGAACTCTCACTCTCTATAATAAGGAAATTAGGAGAGCAAAAAGATAAAGCTTCAGGATGTTCTGCAACAGCATAGAACACACTACGACAGCAGTAAGATTCTGCTAAAGAGAAGTATTTAGCTAAAGAGAAAATACTCTCCTCAACCAATCTGAAAAAAGATGACAATGCGTACACGGTAGGTGAGGAGGTAAAGCGGATCCTTTGAACGCGGTCAAGAATAGCAGCTATAAGTTGCCACCAAAGACCAAATTCACAGAATCTACTTTAAATTCACTCTCCTCTTCTTCGTGCATAGCTACGAAGAGAGCACAATCTAAAGAAGAGACACATAAGCATACAAGTAAAACATAAGCATGGAGATGCAAGTAATTATCATAGACAATGTTGATCCTTATGGTAAGATATTGTCGAAGAATTGGCTACTTGTTGAAGCGCCGCTGGTGATACTGAGAAACTGGTCTTCGATGGAGCTGGATGAAATGCCTTAAAGTTGTTAGTTGTAGCAACAAGAAATTCTTAGATTTTCTAACGCGCACGATCGGCAGCTTTGGCACACTCTGGCAGGGAGCTCGAATTGAAATAGTTCCTTGCTCTTAACTTCCTGTACGCCCGATCTTTTCTGTGTGGACCTCACCTCCGGTTGTGGACAAGGATATCATACTGAAACGCTATAGGCTTTTTAAAGGTTCGGTTGCCATGTGACAGGCTTCAAACTTCAACTGGACGGGTATCGTGTTTATACTCCACACACACAAGGTAAGATTAGAACCTGCATAGTTGCAAAGAAAAGTATTAATACTAATATTTTTCCATTAACTTCTTACAGTAATGGTGATCTCACAGTGGTTGTATTTAAAAAAAAGCACAGGCCTAGCTTATTGCTAAGGACCGCATATTTTCAGTCCGATGAGAATGAAGCATCCTCAGCACACTTTCGAGCATTGATTGCTTATGCAGAATCGTGCGGACTGTTTCTGGTAGTTGGTTACATTACAAATGGTAATCACAAGCTCTAGGGTAGCTGTGATACCAACGGTAGAGGTGAGTCCATTTTTGATTTTATTCTCTCTACTAACGTAACTTTATGTAATAAGGGTAATAAGCCAACATTTCGAAATAGGGTTAGGGAAAAGTTATTGATATTACAGTGATCACTGGTTCCAACTACTTTAAGATATACAATTAGACGGTATCATACACTTACTTCTTTAAGGATCATTGTTGGATACATTTACTGCTAATTTATAAATTCAGGGTCCACGACTGTTAAAAATCCCAAAAATATTGATTGGTCAAATTTTTCAAAACTTGCTAGCTAAAATTTAACAGAGACAAAAGTCAGACTTGGCTACGGGCATTTTAAATAAATCTTTTGAATTAACTAGCCCCTTTACTATGCCAAGAACCAAACCTCAAGTTTAGTGGAATTCTGAATTGGAGGTGCTGAGAATTTCATTCAGGAAGCTCTTCAACAAAGCAAAGAGCAGCAAGCAAGACGGGGATTAAAAAAATTACAGAACCTGTTTTAATACATACAAAAACAGAATTAAAACTGCAAAAAAAAACCCCTGGCAGCAGGTCTGTGGAACTGTCGGGACTGTTAATGAAGCCTCAAGGCTTCGAAAAATACTATCTGGAGATCCAACAGCTCTAGGCAGTATTAAAAAGCCTAACCACTCATGAATAGACTTGAGTCAGGAATCACTAAATGTATTAATGATGATACACTTTCCAGGCTGCACCAACTAAATTGACTGTGATTCATAGTTAAATCCTATTCAAGCAACTATAAGTGACGTCGCGAATATTGTTAGTACAGATAAACTTACTTGGGCAATTAACTTCTTCGATCCTTACAAATCGTCAGAATCAGATGGAATCATACCTGCCATGTTGAAACACTACTGAAAGCGTGGTTCATCATCTGGTGAACTTTTTTTCAAGATGCTTAAGAGATGGGTATGTATCTAATGCTTGACAGGAGGTTAGGGTGGTTTTTACTTAGAAAGCGGGAAAGCTTAATTACTCTACTGCAAAAGATTACAGAAATTCTTCGATTTTCTAACGCGCACGATTTTCTACCCCTTTTCTTAGCTTGGACGAAATCTTATCGATTTTCAGGGCAAAGAGAAGAAAGGTTGTTGCCTATGCCGATGACGTTGCCATTTTAATCTCATGCAAATACTTGTCAACGATTAGTGAGCTCATGGAATCTACACTTCGTGCAATATACAGTTAAGCTAAAATTAACGGCTTAGAAGTTAATCCTACTAAGGTAGAGCTTGTTCTGTTCACGTGGAAAACCAAAATAACTACATCCACCAGACTGGATGGTATTGCCCTGAATCTTTTCTCGGAGGCTAAATACTTTGGTGTCGTCCTTGATTCTAAACTAAATTAGAAAACAAATATTGGACTAGCTGGATATCATGGCTGCAAAAGTCTTCTCAGAGCCTGGCTTTGTGCAATTTCTAGCTGACGAATAGTAGTGTTTGAAGCTTTGCTAAACGCTACACATCCATATAGAAGTGATTGACGAATTATTTGGTTATATAACAGCTTCCTGTTCTTAGAGATTTTCCTTCTTGAATAGCGCTTGAAAGGTCACTATTTCTAAAGAAATCAAAACTACAAAATTACTCGTTTGTATTATAC